CGCCTAGGGTCCTAGTGACGCGTTTCGATATAGAGAGGTGGCGCTACCTTTGCACTTGCGTACCCATCACTTCTAGCCATGGTAATCTTAGGTGGGTCTAAGCCTGAACTTTGCCTTTAAACTGATAACCATGTACTGCTGCAGTGCGAGGACCTCATCAAAGTTATACTTGATGATTATTTCTAGAAATTTCGCTATTCCACGAGAAATGGGCGTGTTTTTGATCGGCTAATGAAATGCATTTATCAAGTGGAAAATTCACAAAATCACAACCCGCGTGAAATACGAAATACGAAAATAAGTACAGTAATTTGTGCTCGAATCATGAGAGCAAATTGTTGAGAAGCATGTATGGAAACAACTCGTTATTTAGGATTTGAAGCCGTTCTTAAAGTGATTGTGAGACCGTAGTGGAAAAAGGGAAATCAATGATTTTCGCGAATCTGTTACATTTTGTACTCAAATTAGGAATGTACAATTAAAGAAAGTCATTGTGGGGCAAGATAGGTATATCTCGACGAAAACTATGTCACCTAGGCAGATTTACCCCATAGGGTGCCGCTTAGACAAACCTAACCAGTATCATAGTGACAATAAGTGAGATGAGTGCTGCTACTGGGAAACAGAGCAACCAGACAATGACAATTTTCCGGAATGTCTTGAACGAGACACCTTCGCTTGTCGATTTTGTCAGGCCCACAAACAAAACTGCTCCAACAGCGCAATGAGTGGAAGAGATCGGGATACCTTAAGCAGACCAGCTTTATTTGATTATTTACTAAAATTATGGTAATTCACTATTTATACGGTCAAGCTACTCACCAATTTTCACACAAACCAACACCGTGAACGCGGTGCCGAGTTCGATGGCGAACCCAGAAATCGGGCTCATATCGACGGTGATCTCCTGGGCGATGAGCTTTATGGTTCGGTGTCCAAGGGATAGAAAACCGACGATCATCGCCACAGCTCCGAAGGCCAGCAGTACCTGAACGTGAGACAAATAATGTATTTGCGGAAGAATGTTGCGTCACAAGGAAAACTACTATTTTCGGATGGGTATCGAAGTGGTGGTTTTAATTTGCAGGTCAAGCGCTAATTCCGTTAGGCTATCGAAAGCCCATCTGCCCTATCTCATAGTTTGGTTTTTGCAAACTGCTACAAAAATGCTAGCCCATGGAAGTGTCAACTGTGCACTTTTTCCCCAAGGAGGGTGCCTTTAAGTCCAGTTTATTTGCTTCCAGTTCTATTTATGCACTCCCAACCTGTTCAAAATTCGAGAAGTCAAATTACCGTACCTGCGAGTCGTCCCTGGTCTCAGCAGCACCGAATGCATATCCAGTTTGGTACGTCATCCAGACAGCCAAAAGTGGCCCGACAGTGTTAGCGGTGTCGTTGGCACCGTGGGAAAAGGACAACACGAAGAGGAGACGATCTGGAGCGCATTGAAGACCTGAAATTTTTATGACTAAGAAAACCCAACGAAAATCGATTATCGATCGCAATTTTTTGTGCTGCAATTTTCATTTTTTTCCATGCTTCCCTATTGCTTCAAGTAGAAAAAGAGCTATTTGTCGCGCTTGAAGCGATGAAACAAAAGCTTCGTTGGAGGATGCGTAAGGGATGCGCCATGCATTTTAACATCCATTTGGAACCCATAGTGACATTTCAACGGTGTTTAGCCAAAACAATGGCTTCTGAAGACCACTGGAGACGAGTAGTGATAGTGATTTCATCCCCTCAGAAAAGTCTGAGTCCAATTAACCGCGTCCGGAATGGTGGAAGGCCTGTACAGCGTGCGATGCAGGACTTAATCCCGGAAGGAGTTGTAAGGGCGCCACTTGCTACCTTAGTATTTTCTTACTTAAATATGAATAACTCAATTGTAATGGCACGAATGTGGGGCGTAGGACTGCAAAAACAGCGTCGGGGTTTAACCCAGCAAGGGCGCACGCTTCCATCTTTAGGGAATGGGGCCTTATTCCATCCTCAAGGGCTGCTTAAAGCAGAGTCCAACAGGGTGTTGATGACCAAAAGTCTGTTTGCTACCGTAGGCTCCTTGGACATGTGGAAAACAAAGCGTTCAATGTTCGCTTATCTAAGATTCCAAAAAAGGGCAGCTGACGTTGCCATGTGTCTACGCAAGGAACAGATATCCAGATTGACGTCAGTGGCCGTTCCACAACTATTTAATGAGTGGTTAAACGACCGCAAATGAATTCCCCCACCAGATGGCATCCTCCCGTGCTAAAAACAATCATGCCAATCTAATTAGAAAAAGCTTCGTGTCGCGTTTTCACAGGGGTGCAAACTAATTAGTAGATTGCCGCTGGTGATTCAACTAAACCGATGAAATCTCGTGGCGCTTGTGCGAGGGGTTATCGTGAGCACTCTCGAAGGATTCAGCCCATAAAGCCCAAAGAAAACTTCTATGTTCAGAAGTTTTCGAGCCAGGAAAAATGCAGTTCAGTAAAGTTCTAGCTTTCACATTCGCTATCTTACAAATATTTCAGAGGTTCAAGTCCAAGTTGGAAGACAGCTGCATGGCGCATTCCTCAAGGATCTTCAAGTGTCATTGACTCCAGCCACTATCAATGAAGAGTGTTTCCCATCCAGCGAAAAGAATCACCAACCTTAGTTGTAAGTCGCTCTTCAGGAACGGCTGTGTAAAGATATTTGTACCATGGGAGATTCTTGATTTTATCCATGTCCACAATCGGGATGTGCATGTCCTTCACTTTTGTTTGCTCTGGAAGTAAAGAATTTATAAAAATACCCTGGGCACAATGTGAATGAAATAAACTTCATTCGGGTGTGACCAACGAGAACGTAGAACGGAATGGTTTTTGAAAAAAACCCCAGCGCCAATAATCCAAACGCTGCAGCTCTTTCGAATTACTCTCGCCTGCATCGAATTATATGAATTATTTCAGGGGACTACATAGGTACTGGGAAAATAGATATCTCCGAATCCATCACAAGAACGTTAAATCGTGGAAAGGACCATTCGCCCTAGAAGGAACTCGAACCCGCATCTCTTGTTTATCGTACAAGTTTGCTGCCAGTTACGCTACCGAGGCACGATTTGACTCATTCGCTTTTATCCTAATGTTTTAAAATAAATTCCATCTCTAAGAATTATATCGACTGGGCAGACCACAGCGGTTTTACCCAAACCCCAATCACTCGCCGGTGATGTTCCTAATTTCTTGCTCGTTATCTATGTTGGTAAGGCACGGGCCAGGATAATCTTCGAAAAACTCCCTCCCTGCGGCATTACGCAAGCCACAGAGGCATGGCATTTGTGACTCGAACTCGCGCGTTTAAATAACAAACTCCGACCTATAATCAGGGTCAGCCCTACGTTCAATACGAACGGGGGTCGTCCTGATTGTATTGGAGGGGTCAGTACCCACTTGTCGTCTTTTGAAATCCACGTGTGGTATTGAGGTGAGACTAATTAGTGGTAGTTAGCTGGCGGTGTGAGTATGCGCAGAGATAATAAAATTTGCCGTTGTCAGTGGCGTTATTCCCCTCTTGGTTTGATGATTGAGGGTATCAATAATTAGTTAAAGTACTATATAGACGCATTGATGGTTCGAGGTGTCGAAAGGGCGCTAATCAAATCACTGGGGTAAGGGGTCTAAAAATTTTCAGAAAGTAAAACGATAGGAATCGACCCTGCCTAGTATTCAGAACTATGGCCGCATGGCTTAGGCTATGATTGTCTCCCGGAGATAGTGGGTGGCCAACGAGTGAAATCAGCTGGGTATGGTGCGCTGATTGCCGTATCCTGCCGACACGGAGCCGCACTTCTCTCACTGATGTTCGGGAAGGGGTGGAGGTGTGATTATCGGCCCTGTTGACGGTTTTTTTTTCGTATTTCTTCATTTGCGCTCCACTTCGCATCTCTATACTCTCAAACTCAAAAAACCCCAACTCGCTTCCAACCCGAACCTTCGAACAGCCACCCAAGGTCTTTGTGAGCCCGTCATGTTCATCGGCTCTTATAAAGTAATAACCCAAACAATCATACATTTAGCGCTTAGTTGGTCACTTCTCGGAAAAAAATGTAAAAATGATCAGGCCACAATGTTTAAAATATGAACTAGGGCAGAAGAGAACCAAAATCCAAGGATTGAGGAGCCCCAGACTTCCATTTGCCCCATTCGAGCTCCCATACTTACACAAGATTTGTAACTGTGATACAGTAATCGTGACGATGATTAGTATGCATGACTCACTGATTTTGCCCTGCTCCAGTTTCCGTTGATGCTTCGCCACTTCCTCGTTAAAGAGTCGATGGGCACGGTTGCTGAGCCAAGACTGCAATACAAAAATGCTTGAGCCACCCTATCTTCACTTTGATTCAAGCTAACGTTACCCTCAAAGGACACGATAGAAGGAACATTGCAACGGCTCCAGTGGCAAGCGAAATAAGACCTGCTTGCCACCACGACAGGCGATCAAATCCAAGATCTGGAATGATGGAGTTCAGTGGGTCCCACTGAGCTTAAAAACCTCAAGACAGAGTGTAAGACCCACATTTGGATCCGTCGAAAATGCATGCGAAGAGATTAACAGTGACAGTGAAACACATAAATATCGGACACATGATCAGAGCCCATTTGAATGTGTCTTTTCGAAGTAGGACTGAGTACTTGATGATCAGATAGAACGATGAGGCGAAAAAACCGGCGATCAGCGGCGAGATGAACCATGACAACACTGAAACACCTTGATTGATACAATGAATGTGAAATGAAGGAAAAGGAAGTTTTGGTTGCGATAAGAAGGGTAAGAGGAGATG